CCTATAATAAAATACCAATATAAAATTATAAAAAGTATATATCGTCTTTCTAAATCATTCCCAAACATAAGATTGTTGTTTAGGCCATACATACCACGTAATATTAGAATAAGCACCTCTTAGTTTCAAAATACTTACAGTATAAATGATTTCTAATTTTACAGGTTGTTACCCCTTTATTCCCCAAACTTCGCATATTATTCCCTTATACCTACACAGAGGTACTGAATAGGTACACTATAATTACAAAAAAGTTACACTGTAACTTCAGTTTACTTACGCAGTACTTTGCAGGTTGCATATCTGGTTGTTACCCCCTTATTACCCAAACGTAACACATTGTTCCCTTATACCTACACTTATGTTCTTTATAGGCACACTATAATTACAGAAACGTACACCGTAAATTCAGTATACTTACATAGTTCTTTGCGGGTTGTAATCTAAAGCGTTACCGAAAGTTGCAGTTCAGGAGATAAACAGCTGTGCGCCGCATTTTCGGCAAAGGGCTTTCTCCAGGATACTCGGGAAAGCACGTATCCAGTGAGTCCACAACATTAGCAGATTTGGCATAAGTATGCATAGGTTTAACACTCTCAGATTTCGAGATGTCATCCACCTCCATCCTGACGTCACACCGCAATTCTAGAATCCAAACACGTGCTGTAGCCTAGCCAGTGAATAGTCGTTGTCGAAAAGAGGAAAAAGCTCTCAAAGATATATACAAACTCACTAATCGCAGTACAATAAATATATGGAGAGCATAAAGTGTATAAAATCAATGCATGAAAAAAAAGAAGTCTTCGGGGAGGAAGAAAATCAAGTTTTGCACAAAATTCAAGTAAGAGCAAAGAAAACGCGACCTACACCGACGCCATCTTGAAGACGCCTACAGCTCAAGTTCCTGAAGGGGAACTGCACTTTCATATTCTCAAACAAACATGTGTTTGGTTCCCTTGAGACTTCTTCTATCTCTGCTTATCTCGAGTTCAGGATGGTGGTCTTTTCCCACTCCGGTTCCCTTTTACTCTCTTTACACTGTTTCCTGTCTCATTTCAAACCGCCCTATCAAATTAAGCCAGAAAGGCCAATAATTTAATTATTTTATCAGAACTTTACTGTTTCTGATATGATTCATTGATCCTGCTGAACAAATTTTCTGTATGATGTAACAAATGCTAAAAAGCAAACGTTTCTGTTCTTGAACACCTTTTGGACTCTTTTGAAAGGTAACACTTCACTCCTCAAGCATCAGAGAACAATGAAGAATAAAAACTCTGGAAATTTCAGTTTTGTAATGCTGACCAGGAATAATGTCTGTTATACAATATAAGTGGGACTCCAGTATTGCATGGTTCAGGTAACTTATTTTCCTTACAGGTGTCAGATAAAAAAAAAGGATACAAATGAGCCATAACGGACATATTTATATATGCAGATTTTATGATTTTATAAATCATATGCAGATTTTATATGCATTCCCTTACGAAAAAGAAGTTTATTCAAGTGTGCTATTAGTATACTTCTTTTAACTTAGTATGCAGTACTAAGTATTGCAACACAAGTAGTTCTCTGTGGTCTCTGATTTGTGCACAATATACACTTTCAGGAAAATTGCATCATTACATCATGTTTCATTATGTTTGTATTTGGTCAGTGGCATAAGTTGAGTCCCTCATATACTGTATAATAGACGCTCTTACAAAAAAAAAAAAAATTACATGTCTTTATTTTTCTTCTTTCCATTTCATTGTCCCTCTCTGAGGCTTGAGGAGTGAAGTGTTTGCTTTCAAAAGAATCAAGATCGTATCTGTAGTCAAAGGGGTTCAAAAACTAGTATTTATATTTGGCCACATCATGTTTGTGAATTTGATCCACATGAGAAGCGTAAATCTAGGACTTTCTATTGATTTTTTTTTGTTTTGTTTATGTACTAATTTATGTACTCTTTTTGTTTTCTACAGTTCTTTGCCAACTTACAGAATGAGAACGATGAAAAAGTGTACTGCCTCGTGTAGTGATGGGTCATTTGGTAATTTCTTATGTCTCACACATGACGTCTCAGAACACACACCTTAGATCCAATATAAAAAGCTAACTTTCTCATCTCAGTTTGAATTTCACTGTTGTTGTCTGGCTGTAAGCAACTACATCTTCAGATGTTCTCTTGCTGTTGAACACCTTAAACTACAAAAACAAAACTCAGAATCTGACAAGAGACAACAATATCCTCAGGTAAGTTTGAGTTAAAGTAAAAGGTCAATATATCACATTCATCAGTGAACATTGCAGGTTTAATTTTGAAATAATTTAGCTATTTTCCTTAAAATACCACAGATTTAAAACTATATTACATGCACTATGTAAGACATTGTGGTGAACACAACATATTCCTATTGGAGTCATACATCTAGTATTTGTGAAATGCTGTTTTGTTTCTAGTTGTCTTTCAGCATCTGTTCTTCACTAGATCTACTAGATCATCTGAGGGATTTGACCGAATCAAGATGCTGCTGATCACTGAAGCTCTTCTGCTCATTTTAGCTGCTCTAGGACAGATAAGCTTGTGTTCTAGTATGAATATTACAGACATTAATACTGATGACTGATCATTATGATTCCTGTTGCTGCAGGATCGCAGAGCTGCTGGTGCAGGATATCCATTGGATATGGCACTGAATTCTGTTGATGACCAATATGACGGTTGTAAAGAGAAAATTAAACACCTGGAAAATCTAGGGAAGGAAATGTTTCTCAATGACCTTAAATTGGATTATCAAGAAGGTGAAAAAAAATGCAAAGAAACCAGAAGATAACTTGAGAAAGATTCATTCAGTTTCCATTTATATGTACACCAACAATAATTCTGATGTATATCGTAATTTCAATAATGCTGTTCGTAGTGAGAAACAAAAATACAAAAAGGGACCATTCAAATGGTATTCACTTCACTTTCTGTTAACAGATGCGATACAGATTCTGAAGAAAAAACAAAATAAATGCTATTTAACTTATCGTGGTACTCCAGTTGAATTTGATAAAGATGTTCTCAACA